GGACTCAGGTGCTTCTCGCTCTTTCTTCCGTGACCGCACTGTCCTTGAGCCACTAGCTCGGCCGGTTGCTGTCTCTCTTGCTGACCCCTCTGGGGGTCCGGTCATTGCGACCTCCTCCACTACACTTCCGTGTCCAGCGGTTCCGTCCGGCACGCTCTCAGGTCTCTACCTCCCCTCGTTCTCTACGAACTTGGTGGCAGGTTGTGCGCTGCAGGACGGGGGTGTTCACCAGTTCACCCCTGCCTACGAGCGTGTGACACACTGCACGTGTGCTCGGACGGGCCGCCACCTGGCTACTTTCACTCGAGAGCCGGGGTCGGACCTGTACACACTGACCACTGAGTCCCCTCAGGTAGCTGCGTCTGCGTCTGCGTCAGGTCAGCTGTCCGCCCCCTGCTCGTGTCACTCTCTGGCGCATGAGACTGTCCTCTGGCACCACCGCCTTGGTCACCCGTCTGTGCAGCGCCTTCGGGCCATGCACAAACGGGACCTTGTTGCTGGTCTTCCCAGGGTGCTCCCTCCCCTTCCCGACTCCCCTGCTCCTGACTGCATTCCCTGTGTCGAGGGGCGGCAGCGCGCCGCTCCTCACTCCTCCTCCTTTCCCCCGACGACTGCTCCCTTGTAGACGCTCCACATGGACGTGTGGGGCCCAGCCCGCGTCCGTGGTCAGGGTCAGGAGAGGTACTTCCTGATAGTTGTTGACGACTACTCGCGCTACACCACGGTCTTCCCCTTGCGCGCCAAGGGTGACGTCCCTGGTGTTTTGATCCCCTGGATCAGCCGAGCCCGTCTCCAGCTAGGCAAGCGCTTTCACTCGGACTTTCCTGTCCTGCGCTTGCACTCTGACAGAGGTGGTGAGTTCGCCTCCGACCTCTTGGCAGCCTACTGTGCTGAGCACGGCATTGAGCAGTCGTTCACGCTTCCGGCCTCTCCGCAGCAGAATGGGGTCGCTGAGCGCCGCATTGGCCTAGTCATGGAGGTCGCTCGTACCTCCCTGACCCATGCGGCTGCTCCCCACTTTCTGTGGCCGTTTGCGGTCCGATACGCTGCGCATCAGCTCAACCTCTGGCCCCGTGTCTCCTTGCCGGAGACTTCCCCGACTCTGCGGTGGACGGGAGAGGTTGGCGATGCGTCGCATTTCCGGGTCTGGGGATCTCGAGCTTTTGTCCGCGACACGTCCACGGACAAGCTCTCGCGTCGCGCCGTTCCCTGTGTCTTTCTTGGCTTTGTGCCTGACGCGCCTGGATGGCAGTTTTACCACGTCACCTCGCGCCGGGTTCTGGCCTCTCAGGACGTCACTTTTGACGAGTCCGTCCCCTTCTACCGCCTCTTCCCCTACCGCACTGCCCCGCTCCCCCCCCCCGCCTCTCTTCCTCGCTCCAGGTGCTGAGGTACCAGACCCCCTCCCCCCTCAGGGTGCCGCTCCCTCAGGTGTGTCCCAGGTAGACCCGGGTGAGCCTGTCGAGGTAGCTGTTGACTCGCGTCATGAGTCTGGGGGTGCTGAGTCTGGGGGTGCGGAGCCTGGGGGTGCTGAGCCTGGAGGTGCGGAGCCTGGGGGTGCTGAGCCTGGAGGTGCGGAGCCTGGAGGTGCGGAGCCTGGAGGTGCTGAGTCTGGGGGTGCTGAGTCTGGGGGTGCTGAGTCTTCGGGTGCTGAGCCTGCGCGTACTACACCTGGAGGAGCCCTCTCCTCCCAGCAGCTGCAGGAGAGGTACCTCGAGTACTGCCGCCTCCGGAGAGGTGCTTCTGGAGCTCGTCCCAGTACTTCCCCTCCTACCCAGGAGCTCCCCCCCATTCAGGTGATCCGAGAGTGGTACACCCGGCGCTGCAGTCTTCGGAGTGGTGCTCCTGGTGCTGCGGACCCGAGCGGTGGCGCTGTTGCTGGTGCTGAGGACCCGGACGCTGGAGCTACTGCTGGTGCTGAGGACCCGGGCGTTGGAGCTGCTGCTGGTGCTGAGGACCCGACCGGCGGCGCTACTGCTGGTGCTGAGGACCTGACCGGTGGCTCTGCTGCTGGTACTGAGGACCCGGGCGTTGGAGCTGCTGCTGGTGCTGAGGACCCGGGCGTTGGAGCTGCTGCTGGTGCTGAGGACTCGGGCGTTGGAGCTACTGCTGGTGCTGAGGACCCGACCGGTGGCGCTGCTGCTGGTGCTGAGGACCCGGGTGTTGGAGCTGCTGCTGGTGCTGAGGACTCGGGCGTTGGGGCTGCCGCTGGTGTCCCTGCTGGTTCTGGAGACGCTGCGCGGCCGCGACCGTATTTCGTACCGCTCCTTCAGCAGGTTCTTGGTCAGGCTCCTCCTCCTAGTCCTCCTCCCTCCGTCGAGTGTCCTCTGCCTGTCCAGCCGCAGTCACAGCTACCGCCTGCCTCGCCTCTCCCTGCTCCCTCTCCTTACGCTGGTCCCACAGGAGGTCTTACAGAGCGTCGTGAGCCCGAGTCTCGTCCTGCGTCGCCTGTTCGTCCTACTCGCACTGGTCGTCGTGTCCCGCGTGAGCGTCCTCCTCCTGTCCCTGGCACTCACTACATGACTTTGCGTCCCTCCACTGCTCCGCAGCGTGTCCCGCTGCCGTCTCCTCCTGCGTCCTCTCTTCCTACTCTTCCTGACCCGGAGTCTGACTCCCGTCGTGCGGCCAGTCCCACTGTTACGCGTCTCCTCGCTACAGTTGTCACTGACCCGACCTTTGAGTCCTCTGCTGCGTCTGCTCTGGTCGCTGAGTTGGTTGACTTTGCTGCTCGCTGTCGCTTAGACTACGCTGCCAGCCTTGTCGCTGAGTCTGAGTCTGAGTCTGCCTGTCCTCCGTCCGTCGGGGGTGAGTGTGCTCTTGGCACGGACGTCCTTGAGGACAGACAGGAGGAGTTCCAGAGTCTTGCTGCTGCTTTGCCCCGTCTCGTGTCCTTGCTAGTTGCCCCTGAGGGAGACCCGGATGCACCAGACATCCCGACCCCACGCTCTTACGCTGAGGCGATGGCGGGTCCCTACTCCTCTCAGTGGCAGACAGCCATGGACGCAGAGATGGCCTCCTGGAAGTCCACAGGCACCTACGTCGACGAGGTTCCCCCTCCTGGGGCGAACATTGTCAGTGGCATGTGGATTTTCAGGGTGAAGCGGCCGCCGGGTTCTCCGCCTGTCTTCAAGGCGCGTTACGTGGCTCGAGGCTTCAGTCAGCGAGAGGGAGTTGACTTCTTCCAGACCTTCTCCCCCACCCCGAAGATGACCACTCTTCGGGTGCTGCTGCACATAGCCGCTCACCGCGACTACGAGCTTCACTCACTTGACTTCAGCACTGCTTTCTTGCAGGGCAGCCTGCACGAGGAGATCTGGCTGCGCCGCCCACCTGGCTTCACTGGGTCGTTTCCTCCTGGTACCCAGTGGAGGCTTCAGCGGCCGGTCTACGGTCTCCGCCAGGCTCCGCGTGAGTGGCACGACACACTGAGGACTACACTTGCGGCTCTTGGGTTCGCGCCTTCTACAGCTGACCCGTCGCTGTTCCTGCGCACCGACACTTCGCTGCCGCCGTTCTACATCCTCGTGTACGTCGACGACTTGGTCTTTGCCACTGCTGACACTGCAGGACTCGCCTACATGAAGTCGGAGCTGCAGAGGAGACACACGTGCACAGACCTGGGTGAGCTGACAAGCTATCTTGGCTTGCGGATCACCCGGGACAGAGCACGGCGCACCATCACCTTGACTCAGTCACACATGGTGCAGCAGGTTCTCCAGCGCTTTGGCTTCACGTACTCCTCGCCTCAGTCCACTCCTCTGCCTACCGGTCACTCGCTCTCAGCTCTGCCTTCGGATGAGTCCGTAGAGCCGAGTGGCCCGTATCCAGAGCTTGTGGGCTGCCTCATGTACCTGATGACCTGCACTCGACCTGACCTTGCATACCCTCTTAGCATCCTTGCACGCTATGTTGCTCCTGGCCGTCACAGGAAGGAGCACATGGATGCCGCTAAGAGGGTGTTGCGCTACTTGTGCAGTACGTCGGGCATGGGGCTAGTGCTTGGAGGGCGAGACCGAGTTGTGCTCACAGGGCACTCAGACGCTTCTTGGGCAGACGACCAGGCCACTCAGCGGTCGTCTCAGGGTTACTCCTTCAGCCTTGGCTCTGGCTCAGTTTCTTGGCGCTCTACACGCTCTTCTTCTGTTCTCAGCTCCAGTTGCGAGGCTGAGATCTACGCCACAGCCATGGCTGCCCAGGAGCTACGCTGGCTGACCTACCTGCTGACTGACCTCGGAGAGCCGCCTCGTTCTCCTCCAGTACTGTACGTCGACAACAAGGCTGCCATTGCCTTGTGTGAGGAGCACAGACTGGAGCACAGAACAAAGCACATCGCCCTGCGGTACTTCCTTGCTCGAGAGCTGCAGCAGCGCGGTCAGCTTTGTATTCGCTACGTGGCCACTGAGGCCAACACTGCTGATGTGTTCACCAAGGCGCTTCAGCCTCGTGACCATCAGCGCTTCTGCACTCTACTAGGCCTTGTGCCTACTGGACCTCACTTGCTTACCTCTTGACTTTGCTTGTACTGTGATCACTATATATATCTATACCTGCATGTTTACTCTTGCTAGGTTGTGATCACTGTATCTCTTGCTTTGTTATAAACCTGCATGTGAACTGGTCTTGTGACCACTAGCTTGTGCTCGGAATTTGTGTGGAATCCTCGAGATCCACCCTGAGCTTGTTGTTGCCTTGCTTTGCCTTGACTGGTCTTGTGACCCCTAGGTCTCCCCCACTTTGCCTATGGGGGTGTGTCAAACATTATACATGTTGGGTTTGTTAGGCTACAGTGGGTTAACCTATATGGGGTACACAATTCTAGGGTTTGCTTTTTGTACTGATTTCTCTGTTAGTTCAACCATTCCAGTCTCGTAATCTTGACATAAAATTCGGTGGGGGGGATAAGGGGGGGGAGGTGCACTGGGGTAGGGGGGGGTGGTCAATATGGGGAGACCATGTGGGGTTCAAACAGTGTGTGGCGCGGCAACCCCTTGTTCACAAACTTACCTTTGCGTCGCGGGTGACTTACTCGCCTCGAATGTCGTTGTGAACTCCGCCTCGGTCTTGGGTTTCACAACGGTCGGGTCCGGAACCGCCGGGAGCGCGATCCGCGCGGAAGCGGGCTTAGTGTATGCCATCCCGTTCAGGATGTAGAAATTGGCGCGTGCGATCAGCCACGTGTCCGACCGGTACTTCTGCATCACGTGTGTGAAGATCGCGCTCCTCTGCTTGTCCAGTTCCAGCACTAGATGCAGACGAGAAATGTCTTCCTTCTCCGTAAATTCCATCGCGGCTGCCATGGAGCGCTTGACAAGGCCATCGTCTGGCCAGAACGTCGTTTCATCGTCCGGACAAACATGGACGATGTACATCTTCCCCTCTTCCACCTTCTCCTGCACAGCGGGACAACGTCTGCAAACATTGCGGTTATGAAAAATCAATCAATGTCGGGTACCACACGGTCCAACACCATTTCCTGGAAACCTCGGTGTTGCCTACAGGGTAAGCACGATATCGCCACACGTGTTTGTCGGTGTACTTTCCTCCCAGCCTTTTCCGATTTTTGGTACCGAAAGGTCCGCCCCGCAGAGCGTCCGAGCCCATCCGCTCATTGTGCTGGTCATAGGTAAGTGGCACGCGTAACGCCCCTGAAACTCTGCCTGCATAGCCTCATGCACAAACGTGGAAAACTGAGCGAATGGAAACACGTGAGGGGCTTCGGGGTTCGCCTGCGCTTGTTCCCACTCTTGCTGCCTGGTCTCGCGCTCATCGTGAGACCTCTGCAGATTCTTCCGCTTGTTGCCTCCGTGCGCCCGTCCCACCGGCTCTGGCTCCGCTGCGTGTGCCCTCTGCTTATCCCGCATCTCCAGAATCTCCACTTCTTGTGCCCGTACGCGAGCACGCAGTGATTCGACGTACTCCTCGCTGTACTGCGTGGGCGTTTTGCTGCCATGGCTCGGTGGCACAACCGGCCCTTGACCACCGGATCGTGCGTTCGCGGGGTTTCCATCGCGATCCACCGATGCGGCTCTCGGTGCAGAGTTTGTGACTGCCGAAACAGGCCTGTGTTGCCTTAGCGATTCTGCGCAGCAGGGTTTGAACACAGAAATGACACTCCGCGAATGTAAGACGCACTTTCCACTCACACACTTTCCGCAACATCAGCTCGTTATGCAATCATGCACGTTAACTATCACACGATCTACAAACCTTCATACTCTTCGTCGATGGGTCCTCTACTGTCGGCCGTCGCGACCCCCCTGTTGTCATCGTCATAACCATTTGCGTCATCTTCTTCTTCTGCTCTAGCCGTCCACGTGGCATATCCGGTTTCCGTTGACGCTGCGCGCTGATGGGTTGCATGGCGCCAGTGACCCGCTGCCCGAACCTCGTCTCTGCCAAAATCCTTCCTACGAGACGATGGATCATAGAATACGTATACGCCGTCCACTCCAGGGCGTTGACCAGACAACCTCGAGGAGGCTCGCAGTCCCGAAGGTATGGGGGACAAGCTTTCTGCACTCGCCCACTATCAGTATTAATTCCCCCCACCCCTACCCGCCCATTGCGTGCCCATCGTATCATGCGCAGGCTTGGTTGGAGAAGAAATTTGGACCAGGCCAGGTCATAGCACCGCTCATCATAGCGAGTGACGCCACGATACTGAGCGGCAACGACAGACAATGCGTCTGGGCGGTGTACCTCAGTATCGCCAACATTGCATTGCGGTTGCGCTGGCGTGGTGCGGGCCAGATTCTGCTCGCGCTCCTGCCTGCGGGAGACCGAACGATGACGCCTGCGCAGAAAGTCGCATTGTTTCAAGCCGCCATGGAGGTCGTGCTTGCGGACCTCCTCGCGGCGTCGCACACGTAGGTGTAACAGGGTAAGACAACTAACACAGAATCACATGCACCCATAGTCCTGATGGACCCTCCTCCACCACTCTTTGTCCGTATCCCCCTGAAACCCCAGAGGCGTGGCGTTGCGAGACCCGAGCGGCACCCCGCATACCGCCTGGCCCATGGGATTCTCGGCAGTGGGCGACTACCCCGAGACTTGCAAAATTACGTGCACACAGGAGTTAAACTCCACACGGCCCTGCTCGTTGTGCTACGTGCTCCGAACGCGCTTGAGGGACATGGAGTGCACCCCCGCAGACTACCGAACGGTGCAGCAGCAGAAGTTTCTTGCAGACAATGCTGCACTTGCGGCGGCATACAGCACACATCCTATTGCGGTAAGCATCTCTATGCATATCCACTCGTTCACAAAACCCGTATAATATACCCCCTGAGTCGGCTACATTAGGCCCGTGCTCTATCGTGATTACGCGTGTACAGAGCTTCCTCTGGAGGTTTATCGCATGCGAAGAGCCATGGGGCAACACGTATCGCGCGGGGATGCCCGACCTACTGCACCTAATATACATCGGGCTATGGATCTACATCCGCCGGGCGATCCGCGGAAACGACGACAACGCGGCGACACTCGATGAGTACGTACACACACTTGACTGAGAGGGTGGCTCTGAGCAACGCTGGAGGGGGCACTAGGCGGGGTTTACGAATAAACAGCACACTTAACACGGGTAAGCCCTCCACCGGAAAGCATTTGTTCATAGGAGGTGGCCCAGTAACATGAAGCCTGCGATTAGAGCGTGTACCAGAGCTGGCAAACCGTAACAACAATTTGAGAGCAGGCACCTATTGCACCCTGTCAAAAATGTTGCACATAGTGCCCGGACCAGTGAGGCAGGTGAGACCATACGGGTGAGACGGGTAGCTCTCGCACATAAAGAACAGTGGATGTAGACAATCCAACATTTCCTTGTATCCATCAATCATACCAGGCGCAACGAGACGGCACACTCCGACGCGCGGCTAGCCGGGGTCATTGTTCCTGCAACAGCCACCTACTGGGCATCCGGGGCCAACCACACAGCATCGGAGCACGCTGCGATGATACTGGTGAGTGGGACGAGGCATTCTTAGCCTACATTAACCGCAAAGTGGTCGCATGGGACTCTCAACTAAACAGCACACATCTCATACCTCTGTAACAGCATACAATCGTTATGGCAAACTCCCCCCACCCCCCCCCCTCACGTTCCCCCAATCCCCCCCCCCACCACACAGATAGCACCTCTGATTGTGGAGGCCACGCTCACACTGGTGCAGCACCTGACACTACTCCGCTTCATGCAGTGGCACGAGACGCACATCCGCGCCCCACACCACACGAAAGTGACACTAGCAGCGATGGCAACCGACACAAGGCTGTGAGTAGAGCGCCATCGTACGTGCATCCAACCCCTACTCGCTTTCCGAGACTGCTTCCCGACACTGAATTTTTGTTGCATATGAAATGTTGCCGGATGCTACAACAGCTAGAGGCACATTTCCCCAGGGGCAGGGATGGTTGGAACCTCCTGAAAGTGCATCTAGCCACGCACGTCCCGGATGCGATCATGCGAGTGGGGCTACCCGCCGAATACTCTGCAGCACCCTACGAAAATGCCCACGTACGAACGTGCAAGCAACCGTACAGAGCATCCAACTGCCGCGAGATAGGCATAGCCATCGCACAACACAACGAACAACAGGCCATGCTGTCGGCATTGCCGCCGCTTGAAGAGGAGTCCCGCGTGTACGATACCGCCCTGCGACAGGTATGCACTAACTGCCGGAGAGCGGCGACGCAAACGTTGGCGCACGCTGACCGATGTACATACACAGCACGTGCACGCTCACATATTGTAAACACACACGATGGTTGTGGCCGAGCAACAGAGCTTGTGTACCGCGTCAAACCCACTTTCCGCGGCAGGCGCAAACTCGCAAAGTGCCTGTGCTGTCGAAAGGCAGGAGGCGGATGGTGCAAGGTCCAGTCCGCGCACCAGGAGGCGGCGACGTGTTCAGAGAGTACGATGAGGCGATAGAAGGAGGCCTTGGCCCATACGCAGCGACGATGCAAGAGGCGGGCTACATTGTGTCAGAACATATATTGCATATGTTTTGTATAAGTGCATGCAATCTAGCTCTAGTGTAGTCGCAACTGTATTCTGTGTGGTGGTGCACCACTCCTAGCTTGCTTCTCTTCTATTTGTACCCAACATTCCATAGTGCAAGCCCTTCTTGCTTGGACATCTCTCTTGTGTCTAGGCTAAGCCCTAGCTCCTACTCCTAGCTATGCTTTCTAAGCCTAAACATAGCTCTCTGGGTGCTTAGTATCTTGACATGGTATCAGAGCCGTTACGTCCTTGGCCTGTGGGCCCCACGATGCTTCCGCTGCTACTTCCTGCTATTTCCTGCCTGCCGCGCGCCCCGGGCGCGCGGCGATTTTTCTTCCCGCCGCGCGCTCGGGGCGCGCGGCGGTTTTCTGCCCCGTCGAACCGCGTGTCGCCCCCCGTCGCCCGTCGCGAAGCCCCCAGGGACCCGCGCGTCGCCCCCCGTCGCCCGACGCGGCCCGCGCGACCTGCGCCAGGCCCGCGCGCGGCCCGTACGGGCTGCGCCAGGCCTGCGCGCGGCCCGTACGGGCTGCGCCAGGCCCGCGCGCGGCCCGTACAGCCCGCGCGCGGCCCGTACGGCCTGCGCCAGGCCCGCGCGCGGCCCGGGCAGCCCGCGCGCGCCTCGTCCGGCCTGCGGCAGGCCCGTGCGCGCGCCTCGTCCGTCCCCCGAGCTTCTGCCGGCGCCCCACCCCCGCTACTGCCCGCGTTCCTGTGTTAGGGTTTGGGGGTGGAGGGTATGGGGGTGCCGTGTGTGTGAGCCGTCCCCTGCTCCTCCTCCTCCTCCGTCTCCCGCTGCTGCAGCTGCCGCTGAGGGGGGTGGATGTGTGGGAGCCGAGGGTTTAGGGTTTAAGGGGGGTGCCGTGGGAGTGGAGCTAGGGGTTCAGCAGGGGGTGTGTGTCGAGGGGTGTGGGACTGTTGGGGGAGGTTGAGCGGAGGCCGCCGTCGTGTCGTCTGCAGCGCCTGTATTCCGGGGTTCTGTTAGCCACCGGTAGCTCAGAGAGCCGGTTGCACCTGTCGCCCGTGGGTCCGTTGCTCCTGTCGCTGCTGATCAGACGCAGAGCCTGTTACTCCTGTATTCCGGGGCCCTTGCTCCCGGTAGCCACTAGAGCTGCACCAGAGCCGTCTGTTGCCCGTGTGTCTGCAGCTTCAGTCGTCGCCTCCACTCCTCTTCTCCTCTCACAGTCACTCCTCCTCCTCACTTCGCCTCTTCTTCTGCTGCGCCCTGCAAGGTGTACCACTTCTGGGGGTGTTCTGCACAAGGGCTATTCCTGCATGCACTTAGGGGGTGTGTCAGAACATATATTGCATATGTTTTGTATAAGTGCATGCAATCTAGCTCTAGTGTAGTCGCAACTGTATTCTGTGTGGTGGTGCACCACTCCTAGCTTGCTTCTCTTCTATTTGTACCCAACATTCCATAGTGCAAGCCCTTCTTGCTTGGACATCTCTCTTGTGTCTAGGCTAAGCCCTAGCTCCTACTCCTAACTATGCTTTCTAAGCCTAAACCTAGCTCTCTGGGTGCTTAGTATCTTGACACATTGCGTTTCCTGTATGGGTAAGACACACCTCAGTTGCACACAATCGTGGCACACCAAGCACACGTTTCCGATCGAGACGCGTCGCCAAGGAATGTAGCGCAAGCGGGTTGTGCACGGAATCTCCCCCGCATTGTGAACTCTACCACCCCTGCAGCAGCCTTGTGCAACGTCAAACCCTCATTCCGCCCTCCACATCCCCTGGCATGGCAGGTGCACACGGCTATAGCGCTCCCAGCGAGTCCCAGCAGCGGTGGCACCAACCCCCCGCATTACGCGCGCGCGACGCCGAAGCTACACGGACACCCGGCATTTTCGTGGGTGCGGTACAAGACAACGGACAACGAGGAGTGCGTAGGCCAATTGTGCCTCCTACTCACCGCTACCAAGTCAGAGGGATCGTCGCGGTCCCCGATACGGCAGGAGATTGCGTATGTCCGCAAAATGGTCATAGGGGCGGATCACGAGGAGTCGGGGTGCAAGCAGATGACGATGGCAGGCACAAATGGCGGCTTCGTTGTCATCCCGTCACGCACAATACTACGAACTGTGCACGTGATGAAGTCCTACAAACAACCCCACGTGTGGTTCCTGAACCGCTGGGCAGATCGATGCCGCGAAGTGCACGCGACGTTGGCAGTGGAGACGACGTGAGGGAGATGGAAACGGTGAGTGGTGCCTCACTCTATAATGCCTGTAGGGCATCAAGCGCAACCATTTCGCAACGTCCGGACACAAGGAGAGGCCTGCAGGCAGAGCATATCGTGTCAACATACCCCCCCACTGGTGACGCAAGCGGGCCAGGGGGGGGCGGGGGGTGGGGCCCACAGGGTGGGGGGGGAGGGGGGTTGGCAAGGCTGAACATGTGAGGGCGAGAGAGTGCTGGA